GGTTTTGATTCTTTTGAATGATCCATAAGAGATACCGTGGCAACGAGAGCTTAATGATACTGTGGCAAGCAGAGGAGAGGAGAGTACAAGTAAGTGGAAGGAAACCATGGCACCAGAAACTAACTTGTCAAACTTCGTCAGAGCCAATTACCACATGAGCAATCAGCATAATGTTAATTAATGATGTATTTGTCAGAAGTAGAACAACTTCGGAAGCCAATACTATTTTAGTTACTGTGGTAACAGGAAGACTAACCTACAGTCACAGGAAGACTAACCTACCGTCCTCCCTAATCATGATGAAGGCACCCTACTAATCATGCATATCTATACTACTAGGAGAGCTATCTGTGTTGTCCAAGAGTGCAGTCACGAGTCAGTCACGAGTCAGTCACAAGTCGGTCACAAATCAGCCACGACTCAGTCACGAGTCAGTCACAAGTCAGGCACGAATCAGTCACGAGTCAGTTGCAAGTCAGCCACGAGTCAGCCACGAGTCAGTGACGAGTCAGGCACCTCTCTTGCACCTCTTGGTCGGATGCGAACCAACTCCTGCAGTGCGTGGCGTTGTACCGTCTCCTCCAGTATCTTTCGACGAGGCCCCGTCTTCACCTGAATAGAACGCCCGGTACTTCTGACCGTATCTGGACTGGAAGTTGCATCAAATACAGCCTTATTGATGGCCTGTTCTATTTGCGTGAAGACGGCAGCTCTGTTGGGACACCCATGAACTGTTGAAATGAACACCGGAGTTTGAATCTGGACGAGCCACGTGGATGACATCGAACAACAACAACAACAACAACAACAAAAAAAAAAAAAAAAAAAAAAAAGGGAGGCTGTCGTTTGTGCTCAACTTCTGGTGTTGTCGTTGCATCGTCTCGCTCTTTCTGCTTGCAGCACTCTTGCAATCTTTTATTTTTAATATTTAAACATTTTTCCTTCTCCACTCCTGTGAGCACACACCACCCTCCTCACGTCCGATCCCTTGCCCTGTCTCCCAATCGCCACCCCTCATGGAAGCGTCTCTGCTGCCCGCCGGCCAACCACTGGGGCAAGGCTCCCCACTTCCTCTCTCTCGACTTACCTCGCAGTACATCTCCGGCCATGGAAGCGTCTCTGCCGGAGGCCATTTTGCTTAAACCAGAGATCCAATAGTGCTACGTTCGTGTTAGAAAAGCATGACACTGGTAGTTGTGCATGACCAGGTTCAGCCTTTCTGAGCACGAACGTAGCAGCACTGGACCGTGGCGTTTAGCCTGCACCTTGCAAGCACAGTGCCAGGAAGGTGCAGGCTAAATGCCATGGTCCGGTGCTGCTATGTTCGTGCTCAGAAAGCCTGAACCTGGTCGTGCACGACGACCAGTGTCATGCTTCTCTAACACGAACGTAGCACTATTGGGCACTATTGGATCTCTCCCTACGTCATGGACCCGTATCTCAGGGTGTACCATGTACAGGACCTCCGGAGTTCTCTATGTTCATGCTCACA